GGAGAAAAGGAGTGGGGAGGGGGGCCCGCGGGGGTGCAGAGGAGGTGAGGGGAGGGGAGCCCGTGGGGGTGCAGAGGAGGTGAGGGGAGGGGAGCCCGTGGGGGTGCGGAGAGCTGCGGCGCCTTCTCCGGGTCTTCTGCTGAGGAGCTGCCAGGCGCTTGTTCGGGCTGCGCCCCAGGCGAGACAGGCCGCCGCCCAGGGCTCCCTCCTGCTGCGGTGTCTTCCTTTCGGTGGACGGTCTCCCGCGGTCGTGCTCCATCCCTAACACGTGTGCGCCTGTATCGAAGGCTTGCCCGGCCGCCAAGCTGTCTTGGACGTGCGTTTGCACAATCCACTACTCAGTCAGTATCGAGGGTGTGAGCTTCGCGTGTGGAGAGCCTGGGTAAATCCTATTAAAACCGAAGCAGCGTCTCAGACTGGAGCCAAAGCAGCTCTGGACCACTGACCGTGGTGACCGTGGGCTCGGGGAGGGCAGAGCCTGGTGGGACCTGGGCAACCAGCGGTGACCTCAGAGTCCTGACGAACAAGGCCTCACCGTCTTCCTGGCTTTCTTGTGGCGGGCCGCTGAATACAGCCCTGTGAGTTTGGGTCTCTGTCTTCATGGGGGCTGTGGTCAAAACCAGACTTTGTAGTTCTATCTGCAGACTTCTGAACAGGAGGCCTGGGTAAAAAGATCTCTGGATGGAGGACCCGTGCAGAGGGAAGTGCAGACCGCAGAGGTGGAGAGAATAATTTCCATGTCCACACTTGAGACTCTGATGCAGACAGGACTCCATTCACCATGTCACCCCTGCCTCTCAGTTTCTGTTTCTTTGCTGGCCTCCCTCAGGGCTGGACTCTACAACGCGAGCTGGATTTCAGTTAAGCAGTTAAGGGCTAGGAGTTAGGGAAGGTGTGCACTCATTTCAAAGTCCCTTTGCTTTCTCCCCCATGTTATGGACCTCACTGTTGGACAGAGAGAGGACAGATGCACTCCTCCTGGACTTCGAGCTCTTCCGCTGGCCAGGTGGCTAGCAAAGCCCCTGTGTGGGTGAGCTTTCAAACAGAAGGGCCCCATGGGGAAGAGCTGCTTATTTCCCAGGCTCCAGAGGCAAAGAGCCTTTTCTCAATAGGTGATGGGTGTCTGACACCTTCCCAGGTGAGGACTTCACCCCACAACTATGGGGGACTGAATCCTGTCCATTCACTAGCGGAAGACATCAGCAGTGGCAGCTGACTGCACCTCAGGTCCTGCTGGCAGCCCCAGCCCTGGTGCCTCCTCTAATTTGTGAATTAATTAGCATATGGATGGGGAGGAACGCTCAGCTTTAAAGACAAGCAAGTCCATTATTGCCAGGCTCACCTCCTTAAGCGATTTGGAAGGGAGGGGAGGGTCCTCCTGCAGGCAGCCCTGCCCCACTGCCCAGAGCACTCTGTCCAGCTGAACCTGCAGGTGAGAGGAGATGCCACTCCCCTCTTCTGGGTCTCCTTTCCTTCCTCCTAGCCCTCTTAAGATGCAGGCCCTTCCTTATTCTATCTCCACGACAAGATTATTGTGAGAAAATGGGGCAGGCAGGGCCTCATGGAGAGCGAGGAGAGGCAGGGTCCTGCTGTGGGCCCCCTGATGCCCTAGCGTGGGAACAGAGCTGGAGGGAAGGCAAGACAAGTGCTCCTGCAGCCCAGGGACCAGACTCCAGTTTCCTCCCCGCTGCCCATCCATCCCGCCTGCAGACCGCAGATCCGAGAGACAACACACTGCAGTCTCAGAAGCAGCGGTTCCTGGCCCTTGCTCATCAACAGATGCCATGAAAGTCAAACCAAAATGAGAACAGGAAAGAAACAGCCCGCAGTGGGACTCTATACTCCTGAGACTCATTGTTGACATGGGTTTTGTGGAATCTATCTCATTAACTGCGGTTTAAAAAAAATTTTGTTTTTAAAAAAATATATCTGAGAGCTTATAATTGTCTATCACTTTGCAGTACTTCACAAAATACCTTGGCATCTGTGATTTCATTGGTTTTTCCAATAATCGCATGAGACGGATCATTCAGATTTTAGTACTCCCATGTTACAGACGAGAACACTGAGGCTCATGGAGGTGGTGTGACTTGTTCAAGGTAGCTGGTGACTGACCTGAGTCTCTGACTCATGGTTCGGCCATAGCAAACCTCCCTTCATGGACCTGCTGTCTGATCTGTCAGGCCATGGGAGCATTTCTGGTTACGTGTTCACTGTGGTTAATTTGTCTGGGCGCCAGGACTGGCTTCTTGGCTTCTTTCTCTAGCACTGTGTAATGGAAGATATCAGTGTTGAGCCAGTATGGTTCTGGTGGAAGGACAGAGAATACTCACATTCCTTAGTGTTGGGGGGTGCCAGGAGGCAGGAGTAGCAGACCATGCCGTAGATATTCCTGGGTCTGTTCTCCAACATGTAGTAGCTGTAGGGAGGGCCACAAAAGACAAAGCAGACAGGTGAGCCCGGAGTCACCACAAGCAAGTACTGACCACCTGGCATGCCCATGGTCAAAGTCAGGCATGAGACAGACCCCCTGGGAATTGGGAACCCTGCGGAGCCAGCAGCCCATTTTGACCACTGACTTTCCTTGGGGGTTTTCAGCATGTCTTGAAATGGAATATTCTTTTTCTAATATAGGGCCAGTGTGAGCCTTTCTTTTAATGTCTCCCCTTTTTGGTTTTCTCACCAATGGATTTGTTTGGTGTGTCTGTGTCATCATCATCTTCATCACATCATCCACTAGAATTACCTGCATGCCCACCACATGTAGGCTCTGTTTAGCTCTCTGGGTGTCTCACCAACCAGGAAGCCAGGCCCCTCTGGAGGAGGAGCACCCTCTCCGTGAGTGCCTGTCTCAGAGCCTGTAGCCTGGTGGGATTACTGACAGAGGTGTCTATGAGCGCCTGGGTCACTGGGACATCCTGGACCACCTGAACACTTGCTAACCGAGATTGGACAGAGCTGGCCGGCAAAGCATGGCTGCAGCAGACAGCAAAACAGTGGCAATGTCTAGAGAGGTCACCACAGAGGGCCTTAAGGTCAGCCTGAAATACAGTCAAGTCATACCTGAAATGCATTTGCTTCCTCCTCAGGAAGCACTTGACTGAAGACACCTACGTAAGTTTGTGCTGGGATTGCACACAAAGAAAAGGACAAGTCGTTCACAGTAAGACTGTCTGAAGTCCTTTACCCCCAGTGATGTTCCATTTTATCTTTCAAGCTTTCTGATGTCCACATGCCAGCCCCATGACCATGCTGACTCTCAGGATGCCCTCCCGGCAGAGCTCTCTGCAGCCATGCCGCTTCCTGGCCCGCCGTCCTCCCCTCCGACGCTCACAGCTCAGGCTCCTTTCCACCTGCAGACTTTGGCACTTCTCTTGGCGCGTGCCCGTTTTCCATAAACACACGTTCAGCCGTGATCATGGAGCCATTTATCACATTGTGAGAAGTCAATTAATAAAGTGAGCTGGTGCCAACGTTTTCCCTTATTACAATTCAAGAGATGAAAAATCCCTCTCTGCTATTGGATTTTTCCGTGTTTGTTTCTTAATCTCTTTTTTTATTAGCCTGCACACCCAGGCGTCTGCCAGCAGCAGTGTAAGTGGCAGCAAGGTGCAGGAGTGCTGGGGGGAGTCTTGGACTCCAGCCGCCGTGAGCTGGACCATTACCAGTAACATTATGATCATAATTGCCCGCCCTTCCTCAGGGCCTTTTATTCTCAGATCCCTGTGTATCTTGTAAACATTAATTAACCAATCTCAAAACACCCCTCAGAGAAGCCACAGCAGTCGGTTTTACAGTTAAGCCTTCTGGAAAAAGCCTCTCTCAGACACATATTCTGCCACCCTCCAGAAGCATATGCCCCTGGGAAGCAGGAAGGGATACTGAGGCCCACGAGGCACCTGCTCCCAGGAGGGGGTGCGCGTCTGCGTGTGGTCTCACAAGGGTGACAGGCTCCGGGTCAGTCAGGCCAGCCCCCCTGCAGCTCTCTGACCTCCAGACCCAGTGTAGTCTCTTGGGGCTATTAGTTTCTGCTCTTCTCAGCTCCATCTCCAGCACATCTTCTCCCACCAGATCTCGATTGTCTCCCCCACGGCCTGGGAGTGCTCAGGGGCAGCCTAAGCTGTATTCCTAGCACCCTGTGCTAGGTACTGAGCAGGGAAGGTTCTTGGCAAGGATGGACTGGGAGAGTGCTGAGGCTGACAAAAAGCCCCGAGCGTGTTTTGTGCATCTTTCTTCCCTTTCCTAACAGCAGAACCACAGCTAAGCCCATCCTGGTTAATACTTGGGGTGCTGAGCTCGGTCTTAGATGAAGATCCACAGCCACCTTGGTGGGTGTAGAACATCTGGGCTTAGAGCTGGGCGCCCCTAGGGGCCCCGGGGCCGCCACATTTTGTGCACACCCGGGGGGCCTGCTCCCTCCTGGGGCTAGTCTGCTACCTCTTCTTGGCACACAGGCACCTTCTTGCTCTCATCCTAAGTGGGCGCCTCTCTCTGATTCCCACGGGGGCTCTGAATGGCGGCAGCTGTGCCTGCCGGGTAACAGCTGCAGCTGTTACCTGCTGGGTGCAGCTGGGTAACCTATTAAATAACTTAGCAAAGAAACAACATTGAAAGGCTATACATTTTAAGAAAGACGTCGGTTCCAGGAGGCTGCAATGGGACTATGCTGCCTGACTCAGCCTAAGTGTGAAATACCTCACACATTTTCTGACACGCATTGTTGCACAGGACGTTTTTAAATGTTAGATTTTTCTCTTTGGGACTAAGAGCAACTCCTCCTGGTGTGGTTTACATCCATGTCACTCATCCTGGGCTAGAGAGGAGTGGAGCATAATTGTTTAGTTTCTTCCATCTGACAGATTTTCATCAACTTGAAGCTGGGTGTTCATTTAGCGATCTGTGGCGCCACTGAAGAGTATTGGGTCCCTTTGTCTTTCTGTAAAGTCTAATTTCCTACACTTTGATCTATATTTTGACTTTTCCCTAGTTCTTTTTTTTCTCCTGTTCTTCAAGGGTTGATTAGAGTGAGTAGCCCAAGACAAGACTCAGTTTAAATGGGGCCTCTAGAATCTTCTATGTAGGGATTGACTTCCTCCAGGTCAATAAATAGGTATATAGATTTTCCCTAAAGATTTCCTTTTTGCAGGGCTCCTAAGCTTGTAATGGATGTCACTGAGCCATCGGATGCTTCCTTTTCCTTCTACAACATTGGAACGTAGAACAACGCTGTGCCCTTCACTTCGTCCTCCAACCATCCTAGAATGCCTCACTGGAAGGGAGTGGACAGTGTGGAACCCAGCCAGCTGGAGCTTGTCCAGTGGGTAAGATGATGCCTGGGGGAGGTTGTGAAATCTCACCTCTCCTCTCTTCCTCTTCTGCTTTGTTCCCTGGTCCTCCCACACAAGGCTTGCTCAACAGGAAAGCCCCCGTATCACTCATTGTTTAGCAAGTGTCTCGGCCATGTACTGATACACAGCAGAGAGGGCAAAGAAGAAGGAGACAGTGCCTGCCAAACCACAAGGCAAGAGGGCCAAGGCCCCTGTGGCGGTAGGAAGACAAACACGAGGTGGCCTGCCACGCAGCCTGGGACCAGGGACTTGGAAATGAAACAGCCTTTCAGTGGGCTCATGATGCTGACCTGCCAAAACTCCTCATAAGTCTCCCCTGTGACACAGCATGAGAGCTTTGTTTTGTTCTCTAAACCTAGGGCATGTAGCAGGAGGCAGGCCTCCGGGGTCCTACTGATAAAGCACCAAGCTCATCAGAGCCGAGATGAGGACCGGAGATGAAGGGGCTTTCTGTTTCAGTGGCCTTGGGGTTGGAAGCGATTTATTTGAACAGTCACATCACGCTGCAGAGCCAAACTGGAAAGTGACTATACATTTTCCCCTCCGTGGAGCACTGTGAGGAGGCGTGGAGATGCCTTCTGAGCTGTGTCTCTTGCACAATACCCTCCCCTCAGTGAGTGCTCGGGGCCTCCCCTTGTTCTGGTGCGGAAGAAAAAGTGTGGAATAAGCAGGTCGCTGTTCTCAGGAGCAGGGAGGGAGTTACTCAATATTTCAGAGCCAGAAGGACCCTTTTAAGAGCACAGATGCCAGCTTCCCCACTAATTCTATAGATGGTCATCCATATCTTTTGAAGCCTTCTAGAGGCAGGAGCTCACGACCATTCCATTATCAAATTTCTGATAAAGGTACTGGGACCAAGCAAATTGTTTTCATTGCCACAGAACACCCTTTCTAGTGACCGAGCCGGCACCTGCCTGTGGGACAGGGTTATTTAGAGCATTGGTCCCAGGGCTTGTCCTTTCCGGCTAGAAAGTCTGTGGATCAAAGTAAGAATGGAACAGGCTGCTCAATGTGCACACACACACTGCCCCTTTTGGATCATCTGGAACAAAATCATGGCCGAATCTCACAGACCACCGGGGGATGCACGCACCAGTCTGAACCGTGGCTGGGTCAAAGCCAGCAATGCTGATGGGCGAGGCTCCATTTGCACCCACTCCTCTGCCCCCTCCACGAAGCTGCCTCGCTGGAGGAGCCTATCTAGACCAGCGGCTCCCACACCATTCATGTGTAGACAACTTTCAGATCCTGACCCTTAGTCCAGATGTCGACCCTAGCTTCATACCCGTTTATCCATCTATGTGTTAGATGTCTTGGTCTGAATATCACAACCACTTCAAATTCCACACATATCTCCTCTGTCCTCCCTCCAAGTCTCCATCAAAGTTTCTCTTCCTCCTGTATTCCACATCTTAGCAAATGGCATCACTTTTGGTCCACATAGCTGGCCAGGGCAGACATCTGAGAGTCCTCTTCAAAGTCTCCTTCCCCACACCCCACACACACCTGGTCTGCAACTCCAGTCACTGCTGTCTTCCAACACAGTCTCAGATTTTTCCTCTCCCTCCAACCTCCAGTGCTTCCCCCTTGTCCCAGTTCTCACCATTTCCCAGCTCATCCCTGATCCCTGGGCTCCCATCTCTCCCCTAGTCAGCATGTTTTCCTCACTGTTGACAAGAGGATCAAGGTACAGCCCGCTTGTGTCCTGCACCCACTTAGAAGTCTGCATGCTGACCCGCGTCAGCATCAAGATGAAGACTCGAGTCTTCAGCATCATTTTCCAGAGCCCTTTTCCATCTGGCCCCTGCCCTCCTCGCTAGTGTCTCTACACCCCGCTGCGTGCACCTTCTACTCGGCCACAGGGGCCGACAGCTCCACATCCTGTTGGATTGCTCACCCCTTTGCGCTTTGGCGTGAGCGTCTCCACTTGGAAAGCTCTGTCCTATTTCCCGTCCCAGCGTCACCCTGAGAAGCCTTCTAAGACCCCTCCTGACTCACCTCTCCAGCCATGGAGTGAGGGTCCTTCCTAGACTTCTATAACTGTGTGTGCCTACTACACTGTGCTGTGGTCACTACTTTCTTGTCTCACTCCTCCACTGGAGAGCGAGGCACCACATCCTTCCTCTTTGTCCCACGAGTACCTACTTGGCAGGTTCTCAATTCAAAGGTTTACTAAAATAAATGTGGGAGTGGTTATGATAAGTTGTGTCAAGTCAGTTCTCACACTGAGAGGCTGTCAAAGTAAGTTCAGATGTTGCAAAGAGGGTCATTTTCTTTCCGAGGTGAGCATGGCAAGGTGTGCATGCTTTTCCTTGGAACGTCTGTAGTTAATCCATGAAACTCTGCATTTCTTTCATGAATCGTCTATCTGTACCAACAAAAACCAGTCAAGATAAAGTTCTAGGAAGTATATAAGTTATCAGAGACTGAGTCTAGCTATCTAACGTCCAGATCCTACTGAATTTCTCTTGTTCATAGCCAAGCACGGTGTCTGCACAGAGCAGTCCCTCTGCATACACTTGTCCCACTGGTTGGGAATGCGTCGACTCTGCTTCTTCTAACGTGCTTCTTTTGATGGAGCCCCCACAACACAATATCCTCAACTAAATTAACTACTCAGCTACAGAACTTTTATTTTTATCATATTTCCTAAGAGAACAGTCTAATACCTTCCCTGGGTATGGCTACCAGCATTTTTGCATATTGAAAAATAAGGTTCTGCGATAATGTTCCCCTGCTTTCTTTATTCATTTCACAAGTATGTTTGAATCATACTCTGTGTCAGGGACATTGACATGGAGCTGTCCAGCAGATATGTGGACATGCAGGTCTGCAGCTCAGGAGGTAGGTCTGAAAAACTAGGGAGACTGGAGGTGGGAGGCAGTCACCAACAGAGAGAGAGTGGTGGAAACCAGGGAAATGGATGCTTCTCAGTAACAAATTGGAACTAAGGTTAATTTCTGCAAGTTTAAAATATCTCCTTATTTTAAAGAGTTATTCACTTTCAGTCTATTTCTAAATTGGTGGGTCTTTCTGCCTTTTTTGTATTTCCTTCTTCTTATAGACTTCTTTTAGCACAGTGTTCTCATTTGGATATATCCTTCTTATTTTCTTCCTCCTGTTAATTCAATACAGTGATCCAGGGACATAACACAAGTGGGTTGTAAAGTATAGTGTACTATTCAAAATGCTGCTGCCACCATGACCACTGCCATCACCTCCACCACCTCTGCCTCCACCATCACTGCCTCCATCATCATCATCACTGCCTCCATCGTCACCACCTTCATCACCCCCACCACCTCCATTATAACCACCTCCATC